CCCCTTTTCAGACTATTTAGCTAATTCTGAATTCTAAATTAGTCTGGGTCTTCCACCAGAAATAAGGTTGGAATCTAACAGTACCCCATCTCAAATTTTAGTAAAGATGGAGCCCAAATATTCATTTTCATTCAGAATATTTTTCTCTTTAATTCTTTTTTTTTTAGTTTGAAACCACACAGTAAATTTTCCTCATTTCTTCCTCAAATCATAACATAGATTCATGTTATAATTTAATTTTAGTGTTTCTTGATGCATGTGATAATTAAAGTATAACAAGATGTGCAAATTGGATGGTGAATTGAATAAATATAACAGCTGATCAGGTTGTCTCTTCTTAATGTCACTTTATTAAAGTCTGATATACTGTCATACTCTTGAATTTCCTTTTCCCTCCTTCATTTCTTTTTCCTTCTACTCTTGTTCCTTCCCCTGTTGAGTAATGTAGAGTATCAGGATAGTGATCTTAGGGGAGGTGAATTATATCTGTAATTATTACAGATTTTTTTTGTTTTTCATTTTATAGGGATATTCTTTGTAAAGCGATGTATATCTCATAACTTTAGGTTAATTCTTATGTTAATCCTCTTAAGGAAGGGGTGTTTTACTCTAGTTTAACAAGAAGGAAATGATTGATTCAAATGCTATGTGGGGTACGAGTCTTAAATGCAGTTTTAAATGTAGTGAGTTATCAAATGTACATGGTCTGCTTTTCACTAATTTTTACTCATCTTGCTTTTCCCTGGATCTGAGAGTGACATAAAAGCACCAGGGAACCTTATACTTCATGATATAAGGGAGAGGAAAAAAACAACCTCTTTGTATATATCCTCTTAGGTTTAACAATTGGGGCCTGAGAATCAAACTGATAAAACACGGATGATAGGAAAACAGAAGAAAACCCCACACCAGATTGAAGTAAGCACGGAAGTTCACAAAGAAATGTGACTCCAGCAGACAATTAGAATTTGGAAATCATACACAATTTTAATAAAGGGGATGGAGTAGAGTAGACTTTAGACAAAGGAAAGAGTTTTGGGTTTCTTGGGCAGGGTGAGTTATGGGAAGGTGATTAGGACATACTAAATGAGGGTTGTGTAGTAGGGTTTGCTATACAGGTCAGAGTTGTCTCTGGAGTAGTTGTCTTTCTGGTACTGGAGAGGGAGGTAACTTTCCAATGGAAATTTGTGTCCTGCTTTTAGCCAGATAGGAGAGGGGAGAGAGCTTCCCTCCCCTGAGTTGAGTCCGCTGTTTCTAAAATACTCTCAGCTGAAAATAATCTTTATGTCAAAGTGGCATATTTTAGGGTGGCATATTCAGGTGCCCTTAAGAGGGAACAGAAGATTCTACTAATCATTCATTGGCGTCTGTAGCGGTTTCTTCCCTATTCAAACTCAGAGCACTCATTTTTTTTTTTTTGCAGTATTTTATTTAAAAACATTAATATTACGGTATGCTTTAAAATGTATACAATATATTAGTATGAGTTACATATAATTGTATATGTTTTTGTATTTGGGTACATTTCCCTCTTTTTTATTGGTGGGTGCCTTGATAAGGAGTTTGGTATCCACTAATTTGTAAAATTACTTTTACTTATTAAAGAACTAACCATTTACTTAAAGTATATTTTTATGCTTCTCTTCAAATTGCATATTTATTTTTTAGCCTTTTTTCAGCTTTATGTGTATTCCTTGAAACACAAAGTCCTCTTTATATATATTTGATAACCCTCTAAGTATTTATTGTACACATAATAGGCGTAAAATATTTTGTAAATGAATTTGTGAAAATCATATATAAGATGAAGTTGTTGATTGTCTTCATTTATTCCAGAAATTTTCATAGATTTATTGCATAACAGAAATGGTGGCAGTAGATTGAGTTAAAAAGTTAAATAACATATTGAGAGGTAATAGCTGACACAAAAGAAAGAGAAGAATCAAAATTCTCTGCACTTGGTTCCCTTTAAAGCCGTGAAGCTAGTTAGGCCTATCTGGTGCTTTTTGCTATTTCTTACTTTCTAACGAGCTTGCAGGCATCTGTCCCTCATTTTTGGATTTCTGTAGGAGATACCTCCTCTCTTTGGTCTCAACCCTTTCCCTCATCACTTATATTTCCTGTAACTTCTTTTAAAAACTTTTTTATACCTCTTATTGAAATTCTCTTTCAAAAGTGAACCTACTTTCCTTGAATCCTTAACCTCTTCACAGAAGTCTACAATCTTGTCATTTATACCTCAGTGAAATTGGGAGAAAAGGTCTGTATGTCCTATTCTTAGTTTTTTGGTTTTTTTTAAGTCACAGAATCCTTTCTTTAAACAAAACCATTCATAGACACTTGGTACATAGAGCAGATGAAAGCACAGGGACAGGATGCATAGGAGAAGAGAAGCAGGATGATGATGATGACTATTCTGGTCTCCCTTACTCCTCCTCCCCTGATACCCTGATCTGGTTTCTTAGGGATCTCATCTGGCATCAGGGTTACACAGCCTGCTATCAGAGAAAGCATAACCAGGTACCCTTGGGTCTCTTTATATCGTAGTAGTAGTGCATGGTGGATCTCCCACAGGACTGCTCTCAGCATCCTTTATTACCTCCAAATCTCCATTCTCCCCCTTTATGTAAAAACCTTGGTTCTAAGGCCTATGTCTTCCATTTTTCACTGGACTGGAACTCCTTGAGATCAGTGACTCTTTTATTGTGTGTGTGTGTGTGTGTGTGTGTGTGTGTGTGTGTGTGTGTGTGTCTGGCTTGTGGTGAGTGAGTGAATGACAGAATGAAAAAACAAAATGCTGAATTATTGACTATTTAATAGACAGTGATTTTTATAGGTGTAGTCAAAAACTTGTATTGGCAGTAAGCACAATAAAGGAAACCTATTGAACCTTGGAATCAAGTGGGAATTTCTAAGTGGTTCTTATCTGTACTTAGGACTCCTCTTTTCTAGGTGCAATGAAGACTCCATTCTTTCTTCTCATGGAACATAAAATGTGCAATATGTTTTAGTTTTGTTGGTTAAAATAATACTCAATCTTGTGATTCTGAGATTAGATTATATTCCAGTGCTTTGGATTTAATTGTCTCTAGACATCCCCAGTTACATATCTGAATATATCTGCTTGAATTCCTCCCACCCCCAAATTAATAAATCCCATCAAGTCTTAGAATGGCTTTATTTTCAATGTTTGGCAGCTCCCTGCCTAAGTCATTACTCCTGACAATAGTCATAGCAGGATAGAATTGCAATGCCATGACAAGCTATGTCCTCCTTACCTGGTTGCTCCAGAGTTTAGGAAGGGCATCATAGTTTTTGAAGTATATCACCATCACAGATCCTTAGTTGTTTTCTTTTGCATTATTTGCCAAGTTGTTTTTATGCATTTCACATGGCTACGTGCGTACACATAAATAAACACTATAACCTCTTACTTGAATATTTGAATGTAAACAGTAATCACATGCAGAGTAGTTAATACTGTGCTTGCTTTGTATGGCAGCAGACTGATTTTACCCTTTGTGCTGTTATGAGGAAGTGTTTATTAAATTACATTTAGAAATTAAAAAACAGATATATATTTTAAAACACCTTCATGGATACAAGTTTTGGTTGAAGACACATGAGTATTTTATATAAACTAAATATCAATTTGCAGGAAAGAGATAAAGAGTAAGAGAATTGAACATGGAGAATCAACATTTTCTTCCTCCCTGCTACTTGCATAGGATAGAGTACTATGTTTTTATTTATTTTATTTTATTTTACACTTGTCACTAGTGTCATGTGCTTAAAGTTTGGCTCTACTCTGCCACCAAAACTTAAGAGATTTCTCCATTGTTCACTAAATTAAATACTACCCAGCCTCATTCTTAAGGCACCTTCTGCAATATACATCCTATTAGTTTCCCTTATACAGAAATTATTTCTATAATGAGATATTTTCTCCTTTCTTTCTTCCTCCTTGCCTTTGTCGATGGTATAACAACTGCTGAGATTTTCTGTGTCTACTGCCCCCTTCCCAACCCCCCCTCCCCACCCCTCCACCTCCCCACTACCCTCCAACTTCTGTTTCCCCTTAAACGTCAACCAATTGTTTTGAGAAGGTTTTTTGCTGTCTTTTTCAAGGTTGACATTCTTTTCTCTCCATGATATGTTGCTTGTACATCTTTTGTCACTAAGGGAGTTTTATTTGATGCTGTGTTGCTTATGTCCTTGTATAACTCATCTATTCTAAATTATAAGCTTGTTGAATACAAGGCACATATTCCTTTTTACTCTATTTCCTTAAGTAACATCATGTCTTAGAAGTACATAATAATTAAGTAACTTACTCACTTTATAGGAAGCAGGCTTTTTATTTGTGTTTAATTATTGGTGACCTCAGAGGCTTTCTTGGATGTTTGGCAATGATCCTCTGTGTTACAGCTGCAGTTCTTGTGGAAACCAGATGTTACTCCTCATACAGATTGTTAAAATAGATGGAAAGATTTTTTTTGTTTGATAAGGTATTTCACATTTATTACAAGAAAACTATTTTTTTGTGCAATGATGTGCTTGGTACTGATAAAAAGGTAAAACCAGGTGGCAGAGACAGGCAATTATTTTCCTGGATATATGTTAAGCAATCTACTGAAGTCAGATCTTTTTGATTTTGTTAACAAGTTTTTTCAGGATTCCAAGTGGAAAAATTGTACTGAAGTGCTCTAAGTTATTGAAAAGAAACACTTATAGGTGCTGTTAAAATAGTATTTTATGTTCTGCCTATTCATTCTTTCATTTATTAATTCTCTGAATACTTCTTATACTATCTCTACTGTGATATAATAGACACATATATAAGTCTTACTATGTTTTTTTTTAAACTTAGTTGTAAGAAAATCCAGTTTCATGCTAGACTGGCTTGTTATTATTTAGTGAATTTTATGTGCATTACCATCAGTTTGCACGGATATACTTATGAGTAAAGGAATTCACACTGTCTTCTCTTCAATCTTTAGAAGAGCTCAAGAGGAGAACAAGAAGATAGTGCTGGCTGGATGTGTTCCTCAAGCCCAGCCGCGCCAGGACTACCTTCAAGGACTGAGTGTCATAGGGGTAAGCTTATACCTGATGGGGGAAAAGCAAGTCTTCTGTTGTTAAAACACGAAATAACTCCATACTCTACTTTCTGTTTCTACTTTACTACAAGCAGTGGTATACTTATGAGTGTCCTCAATATACTTCTCCAATTGCATGAAATTTTGTCATGTCTGTGTAACTTTTTCATCCGAGCACAAAAAAACATGTTCTAGATTATCTCATGACGACACACACACACACACACACACACACACACACACACACACACACACACACACAATTAACAAAATAAATAAGTCATAGCCTGGAATTTGAGTCCCTTAATAATAACCTGATCTTTGCCTGCCTATTCAATATTGCCACCCTAATATATAAAGAGGCAGGGTCTGTGATGTCCAAAATGACCAACAGACAACCAAAGGCCAGGCTGTGCGCGCAGCAAGCTTGGGTTGGCAGGGACTGGCAAGTGGGCTAAACTGCTGACCTTATTCCCTCCTAGGTCGTTGGTACTGTGGTCACCAGCACTGACTGCCACTGTCAAGGCAGGTGCCATGTGATTGGCTGGGGGGCCCTGCCATCGCTCCATGATCGCTCTGCAGAAAGTGGCCCAGGCTACCCTGCTGACAGTGGTGGACGGGGCCTCCCTCTGTGGGGCAATCAATTGCAGGGCTCTCAGGCTTCTAGAGGGTGTGGGCCAGCCTGAGAAAACCCCTTCCCTCCTCAAGGGCACGAATTTCATGTACTGGGCTTTTAGTATCATTATAATTTTCTAACCCACTGAAATACTTGTCATCTCCCAGTCTGGGTACATCTACATGCCTTTTTTGGAATACCCCAATTTCCTACAGTCACACCTTTCCCCTCCTGCCCCAGAAGTCTTGGCTTCAACATTACCATTCTGTCAAAGCCTTGGCTGACAGTTCTGGGCAGTCGTTGATAACCTTGTGTTGGGGGTCCCTTTGTTTACTGTGCAGTTACCTGCCATTTGCTCTCTCAGCCTTTTGCAGAGTTGTGATTTTGGGGTTAACCTACATGATTTTTAAAAAATTTTTTTTATTAAAGCCCACCTCTCTGTTTAAATTATTAGCTTCATGATGACAGCTGTTCATATTTTTTTAAACCGTCATGCGTTTCTTCAGCTTTCCCATGATGCCTGACATGCGGTGGGCCCTCTGTAAATGTTGGGTGACTGACTGGATGAATGAAGGAATCTTACCTTGTACTTGTGTTGGTAGCATACTTTTCCCCCTGTTGGGCAGTCAGTCTGTCAACCAGGAGATTGCTGCCTACCATTTCTTATTCTTGTGGCTGTCATTATCACAGGATGTCCATTCAGTCCCTGTTTGTTGAGCACGTGGTGGTGGTTCATCCTCCCGTTATTCAGTGTGCTCAGCAATGATGTTTTACAGTCTTTAGTTTTCAAAAAACATAAAAATATTGTATGTTCATAGAAAAAATTTATATGAATAATTGGCACCTGGATTGAGATTTATTGTTTTTTTTTTTTTTTTTTTCCTTCTTCCTGATTTGATGTACCACTGACAGGTTCTTATACTGGATTCTTAGTGTAATAAACTTGTTTTTTGCTGTGAGGTCCTTGCCCCACTAGCAGATTTAATAATCTTTGAGCAAACATTCTCATGTTAAACAAACAGAACCTGAATGTTTGGGAACTTAGTTTGTTTTCATCATTTGTCTGTTTACATTTTGATTTCTCTTGGTTTAAGGATTGAAATGAATATGGACTCCAGAGTTATCTTTTCATGTCAGACTAACTTTCTTCGTAAACATAATCCTGCTGTGTTAGGGAAATAGGAAACTAGTTAGAATTTTGTTTTAGAGATGGAATGTGGTAAAAGCTTGGGATTCATCTTAGATTTCATCTCAAGGAATTAAGTTACCAGAATAGTAGAATTTCTTTCCTATGGCAAAAGCAGTCTCTCTATGTACATATGGTAACATTTTCCTGAGCTCCATTGTGTGCAGTAAAGAGCTTAGTGTCTGTTAAGAGGCAGGGGAGATTCTCAAGATAGTGCTGTTAATGTGGAAGACAATTTTCAGGGCTAATGTAAACCCATGGCTGTAACAGCTAAACTTTGTTTTTCTATTTAATCTAGCACCCTCTTTGTTCTGTCACCTGGTCTTATTGTATTACCTTTAAACTTCTTTAGATTTATTTTATTTGGCTCCTTTATAATTGGAAAAATAACTTAAGAACAGATGTTTTAAAAAAATGAATAGAAAGTCCATAACTCCATCATCCTAAAACAATAATTATAACCTTGCTTATCCTCTTCAGACCTCTAATATTTGCATATTTTAGTTAATTACAATCATCAAACTATTTTTATTATTTTCCACAAGCTTCTATTTCATGAGGTTTTTAACTATTTTAAAGTTTTCATTATTATTCTATTGAAGGATATACCATAATATTCTTAATTATTCTTAATTGTTGGATATCAGTATTTTCTGGTTTTTAGGAAATATACATCACACATTAATACTCATAAAGTGGCTTGTATTTTAATTTAAAATCAGTGTATTGTGGAAAGTCTACAAAAGCTGAATCACACTATCAATAGAAATGGTTTACAGTTTAATTTTATTTTTAGTATTTATTATTATTTAACTATAAGATTATTCTTTGTCAGCATCATTTTATATAGCATGTTTTCTGAAATAGCAATATGACTTCTATCATAACTGACTCTATATAAAAATTATGTCCACAGAACCAAAAATTTAAGGGGAAAAAATCTGGAATAGGAAACCAAAATAATCTAAAGTTGGTATGTGGAGAGACTGTTTCCTAATAAAATGGCAGAATTGTTACAAAATCAGAAACCTTCTGAAATAAAATGAGCTACATTGAAATAAAAAAAAATGAGTTATATTGGTTTATACAAAGGAAAAACAATTCTGAAGTGTGAAAAAATATGAAGATGTTTAAATTCAGTGATTTCGGAAACTATTTCTAGGAGGGTGTTTGGAATTGTATTGCACATTTGATTTACAGACTGGATGAAAACTGTTATTCCTTCACAGAATTTCCCTCACAGAATTTCTCTGATAGAGGGTGTTAATAGAGGAGGAAGGAAGAACAGCTGTAACTGCATTCTGTGCCTTCACCTCCTGCTGGGATTTGTCTTTGTCACCCCACAATTCAGGGAGGATGTGTCAGTTCTGCTGACCAAGTGATTGAAATAAAAAGCTGCCTTTAGGTGGGCATCAGTGGGTGAGCAAGCTACTTATTGCATACCTGAGTTAAAAAGACATACTATCTCATGTTTGCAAATGCTCATAGCATTTGAGAAGAGATTTGATAAGTAAGAAGGATACCATTGTAACATGTTAATTTCTATCAATACCAACCTTTAGAAATGGGGCTTTTAATGTGTTTTCATAATCAGAGATAGCAATGTGGTGAGGGCACATAATAACTGGTGATTTGACCCCTGGGCCTTTTTCATTGTCTGTCTTGCTGCCACTTGAAACTATCTAGTTGTGGTTAATATTATTGTGTGGTAGTGCCTGGAAAGGAAATGGAAGTAAAACCTGTCAACTTCTAGGTCCAGACCTGGCTTTGGTGGCAGTAAAACCAGGTCTGGACCTAGTTTTTCTCCCGTCCGTTTTTCTTTATCCCTCCCTCCCTCCCTCCCTCCCTCCCTCCCTCCCTCCCTCCCTTTTCTTTTCTTTTCTTTTCTTTTCTTTTCTTTTCTTTTCTTTTCTTTTCTTTTCTTTTCTTTTCTTTTCTTTTCTTTTTTCTTTTCTTTTTTTTTAAAATATATTTTATTGATTTTGTACAGAGAGGAAGGGAGATAGAGAGTTAGAACCATCGATGAGAGGGAGTCATCGATCAGCTGCCTCTTGCACACCCCCTACTGGGGATATGCCCACAACCAAGGTACACGCCCTTGACCGGAATCGAACCCAGAACCCTTCAGTCCCCAAGCCGAAGCTCTATCCATTGAGCCAAACCGGTCTTGACCCGTCCCAGTTTTTCTCTTTTTTTTCTCCTCTCCCAATGTGAAAAAAATTAGACAGCACTGTCTAATTTTTTTTACATTGGGAGAGGAGAAAGAAAAGAGAAAAACTGAAACAATTTTCCTAGAATGGTTAAATAAAGTTTTTATTTTCTATCTAAAATGTATTTATTTGTAGGTAACCAATCAAAATCTTTTAAATTTTTTCACTATTGGAGCATTTTGACTTACAGTGAAATATTTTATTTCTCTTTTGGCATATAGTTATGGTTAGCCATCCACTTGGAATGAGTTTTCATGCAGTGTCATCTTCTTCCTATTATTTTCTACTATAGGCCCAGTGCATGAATTCGTGAACCTTGAAAGGAACTGTGGGCCGCGAGACTGCAGTGGGCACAGGGGCGGGTCTTGATACTACTTCGTGACACTGCCTGGTCCCTTTCACCATGGCCCCTCGTTCCCTGTCTGCTGGCAGCCCTGTCCCCACTGCCACTGTACCTACGTGCTGACAGTGCCAGCCCCGCTCGTACCCACTGATGGCTCAGAGTGATTGGGGTCAGCTCCAGCAGCAGGTGTGAGCAGGGCTGGTGGTGCCATCAGTGTGTATAAGCAGTGGTTGCTGCCCGAATCGCCCCTTAGGAGCATGGGGAGATGGAGAAGCCTGAAGGGATATTGGGAACAGTGCTGGGTGCTGGCAGCAGGTGCGAGTGCTGGGCAGGACTGTGGCATGCAGTAACAAAGAATTTTCATTAACCACCAGAGGCTCACCCCGATGACAACGGCTGGTGCCCCATCTTTGTTTAGTGTCCCGGGTCACCTGTTCCACCATCCCACCACAGCCAATTTTACGCACTCTGCTGCCTGCTGCTGACACACACCATGTTCTGGGCGTGCCCCCTGGTGGTCAGCACATATCATAGCGACTGGTTGTTTGGTTGTTCTGCTGTTTGGTCTATTTACATATCAGGGTCATATATACATATATTATATTTAAATTGGCTACTGGTGTCTAACTGTAGGTAGTAATGT